CTTACAATATCGGTAGACCTCATTTCTCGAAACGTGACCTATAGCTTGCCAGGGGAGCAACCACAGGAGACGGTAAGTGGACCCTGAATGACCACATCCACGTCATTTGAAGTTTTATTTATACAATAAAATAGTTAGACCAGAAAGAAAGTTTGGGCAAGTACAGGACTGGTAAGATTCTTGCTTAAAGTCTAGCCCCTGTTGTCAGTCCCTGCTGCAACAGAGAAGGCACTAGCTACTCTGCACTTCTGCGTGAACCAAGGCCTTCGTCAGCTCAGAGACATCCGGAGACATACATCAGAGAAACCAAACTAATTGGGCTATAAAATCCATCTACTTATTTATTTTATATGCACACACACACATATATATATTTACATATATTTACTGTGGTAAAACACACAAAATTTACCGTCTTAACCATTTTAAGTGTGCAGTTCCATGGTATTAAATACATTCACACTGTTGTCATCCATCCCCACCATCCACCCCAGGCTGCTTCGTTCTGTGAAACTGAAACTCCATTAAACAATAATTCCCCTTTTTTTCCACTCTCCAGCCCGTGGCAACCACCATTATACTTTCTGTCTTTATGATTTTGACTAATTACTCTAAGAACCTCATACAAGTGGAATCATAAAGTATCTTTCTTTTTCAATTGGATTATTTCATTTAGCATAATGCTCTAAAGGTTCATCCATATTATAGCATATTGCAGAATTTCCTTCTTCTGTAAGGCAGGATAATATTTCATTGTTTTGTTTCGTTTTGTTACCCTTACTTGAGGACATTTTTGCATTTATCTTCAGGTAGAGCAGGAGGGCGAGAGGGAGGAAGAGAGAGAGAGAAACATCGATGTGAGCGAGACCCACACGACCCCAACTGGGGCCAGGGACAAACTGCAACTGAGGTACATGCCCTTAGTGGGAACTGAACCTGGGACTCTCTGGTCCGCGGGCTGACTCTCTAACCGCTGAGCAAAACTGTCCAGGGCTTCATTGTATTTTAATACCACGTTTTACTTACCCACTCATCCATTCGTGGACACTTGGGTTGCTCCCATGTTTCAGCTATTGTGGATAATGCTGCTATGAAAATGGGTATAGAAATATCTCTTCAAGACCCTGCTTTCAATTATTTTGGGTATATATAGACACTTATTTTTTTGCACTGGCTCCAAATAGCTTGAGTAATCGAAATAAACAAACTTAAATAGACTGCCCATTTGAGATGAACAAACCAACTCTTCTTCCATTGAAAAATATTAATTGAAAACCTTCTTTGTATCAGGCATGGGCTAGATTCTGAGGATATAATAATAACAAAAATAAATTGGAAATATATTATGACAGAACATTTTCTTTGATTTAGAACAATTCCCATAAAATAGAGTTGAATATATTGATCAATGTCCGTCCCTGTGATAAAAGATGAACATAATTTGAGTATTCACAAAGGGTTCTTTCTTACCTCCACTTCTATTCCTGTTCTGCTGGAAAGACTCAGATATTTCTTATGAAGATGATTTGTTTCTCCACTATTCTATAAGGGAGCTCCAAAGGATGGCATTTAAACATTTCTAAATAATTCAGGCACTGTGTCAATTGACTGATGGCCAAGACCTGGTTTAAAATCTCTTCTGTAATACAAGGAACTTTGGGGCTGGGAAAGAGGGGGAGGAAGAAGGAACATGGAACATGGGCGTAAGAATTCTAGACCAATTCATTCATAGTTTAGTGACCCAAAATGTTCCCTGTCTTATTTCATTTCTAGCTTTTGTTTTACTATTTCATTTGCTCACTTAAAGATTTTCACTTGATGCCCAAAGCAAAGGAAATTTGTGGAAGGATCTAACCACAGCTGTGGCAAGTGAACTGTGTCTCTTAGCTCCAAACTGCTGCTTTATATAACACACAGGAGAAAAACAAAGAGTATCGGGTGTAACACAGTGTCCACATGGCTGTGCGGGGGGTGGGGGGGGCTTTCCTGCAGACGTGACCCTTTCTCAGAGGTCCTGAAGGTCTCCTCTCAGCTGCCCTTGCACATCTCGACTTATGCCATCCTGGCTGACAAGCAGTGGTGATACAAGACTGTAGAAGCCAGTGGCCAAATGAAGGGTTAGCTTATTTCCACCAAAAGGAAGAAATGGTCATAGAATGCCAAAGAGTGACCAGGAACCTAACACTTTGCCTGGATTTTTAATAAGACTGGGAGAGAAGGGACCTTGCCTGGGTCGGGCTGCAGCGGTTCCCAGTCCTCAGGAGCAGCTACCAGGCAGATGGAAGCAGACGCATGTGCATTCTCATGGCTCCAGGAACCTTCTGTCCTTTCCAGTCTTCATTTCGCTGTGATTTCTTCCACCAAGCCTTCCTTAATTTTATGACTTGGAGTAATTTCTTCTTCTTTGCAACCATGCCCTCCCTTCTGCCACTAAATATTATCTCTCTCACATAATTCACGTGCTGGGGCTTCCCAACTAAGCCTCTGTACACCCAGCTGCCCTTATTGTGCCTGGCCCAAGATAGATGTTAAAAAAAAGTTTGGTTTAAAAAACAGGTAAATTCGTCCAAAGAAGACCGGAGATTCCTCAAGTCAGTTAGGTCACCAACTGTAGAGCAGGTAGGGTTCCTTGTGGTCTTGGCAGGAAGGTCAGGGAATGCCGGGATGGGGTCTACTGGCCACGGTCGTCCACATACCCACAAAGGAGTCCGCTGCACTGGAGCTGTGGTGTAGCTTTCGGATCACTGTCCATGCAACTATTCGTTCCATATTTCATTAAGACGGCTCCCAGTCAAAAAGTTACATTGGCATAAACAACAGACTCTTTCTATGAAGGGTTTTCTTTTAGGTTATTTTACTGAAAATCAAAGTGGGCAAGTCCACTATTAGTATTCTCATTTCACATGCTAGCATGCTGAAGTGTGTCCTGTCCTTATAACCTTACATATCTCCCTCCTAATTAGGGAGTTCCAGAAAAAAGTGTTCTTACTCCATTTCCCTGAGAATGTACTCACTTTAGAAATGAAAATCCAACTTGCATTACTAGTACTCATCATTTTATACAAAATCAACACTTCAAAAAACACTTTGATGTCTCATGTAAGTCCAAACTATTATCATTATTCAAGTGACATGAAAGGTATTGTTCTGTTTTATAGACTAATTACGCTAGGATACTAAAGAAGGCCAGATGCATCACCTAGCCTGAGCTGGGTGATGTGTTTGATAGTGTTCTATGAAGTCTTTCTCATTAAATGTGATCTGGCGTGTTTGGTAATACTGTAGTCTTCAATAGGAATGTAGGTACACACAGCTAACAATACATTAAAATGAATCATATTGGAAATCAGGAAGAACAGGAAATAGTCATTGAATTCCTGCAGGGACTACAGCTTAATTAATTAAAAAGATAACCAATTCTCTATCTCTATGAAAAATTTAGCTTTAAAATACAAATCTATTGCAGTTCAAGCTTCTGTATTTGAGCTACTTGCCACAGAGAACACTGGAGTTAGACACGATTAGAGTGGATCATGGTGTTTTCACTGTTATGTATACGAGGAACGTCAGTCATGCTGAGAAGAAAAGCCTAGTCCAGGTTCTCAGGAGAATCACTAGTGGCCCCGTGGTAACCCGTATTCTTGCCTAGTCCCTTCTAGAAGTGTGACAGTACTTTTACTGTTTACAAGTTATGCAAAGAAGAAAATACAAAATATTTTGGAAACTGTAATCCATTTTTTAAGTCACTAAATATTTATCTAGGCATTTACAGCGACGAAAAAGAGAACACTAGCATCTATTTAGAACGTGAAAACATGTTTGTATGAAAACATGTATGTTATTATCAATCTCTTTTCCTTACCTTTTGCAATTAAGTATAAGCTCTTTGTAGTTTTCATTTTTAACAGAAATTCAAATTTTAGTAGTTTCAGAAATATAAAAAAGATATCCTTAGATGTCCTATAGATTGGTAATCCTATCCCCCAAATTTTCCATGTTTATCTTGTGTTCTGAGGTACAGTCTTCATAAAGATTAAATTAGAATGAGACCAGACAACAGAACAAAACAGGAAAGGGAAATATTTATGTCAGCTGTTGAGAACTAGGTTTGTAAGGCAAGGCCTAACAGCCCTTGTCTCTGGCATGTTCAGTATGGAACGCACACTGATTTTCATTCGGCTACTAGAGAAAGGTATTCTGTGGTGACAGACAGCCTTCTCAGAATTTTGCTGGCATCCTCTTCAGGGGACAGCACATGGTTGAGTAAGACTGAAGCGAGAAGTCTTACCTGTTTTCCCTGAATGATTTCCCTATCATGGGCATTTGGCCAACTGTTTAGGGCTAGCATGAACATGTGATTTCTAAAAGAATGAGCTGGGATCTGCTCACATGTTTAAAAGGAACATTTAGTAAAAGCTGATCTCGAAGCAATAAATCATCAATTTGTTTAATTTTCAAGAATTTTTTCAATAAATATGTTATTCTTTAAATATTAACATGTACATTCTGCTTATATTGTTAAGAGTGCTTTTTATTGTGCCTAAAATTTTCCAGTATGGTGAAATAAAAGATTCAAAATGGTTTCATAACACATGGAAGATGAAATTACATATTTATAGCATATAGTTTGATTGTTATATATGCATGATCAAAATTGTGTTTTTAAATGACAACCTGATATTTTAAAAATTGAACTTAGAAACGATACTGTGTGCCACTTATTTTAACATTGAAATTTTTAGGATTAGCTTTATTAACAGTAGGGCACTTTCTTTTTTTTTTTCCTAATCCTCATCTGAGGACATTTTTTTCCATTTTTTGTTCAGATAGAGTGGGACAGAGAGAAAGGAAGAGAGAGAGAGAGAGAAACATCAACATGAAAGGGACACATCAAGTGGTTGCCACCTGCACGAGCCAACCAGGGCTGGGGACAAACTGCAACTGAGGTACGTGCCCTTAGTGGGAACCGAACCCGGGTCTCTCTGGACCGCAGGCTGACACTCTAACCGCTGAGCCAAACCGGCCAGGGCACAGTAGGGCACTTACATGCATTCCTCAATTTTATATTAGTTTTATACTCACAATATTTAACTTCAAATCAACAAATATTCCAGCCCACATGAGAAATGAATGAAATGAGATTACCTTTTTATATAATTGGGTCAATTCTTTTTAAGAGTAAAAAGTTAAATTGAGATTTGAACACCTAAATTTCCAACGTCACTGTTAATTCACACATGTATTGTTTAGGCCACAGGACTGCCCATTAGCCTTTCTTGTCGAAGGGCAATCAGTCTCTTGAACCACCTTTCCTCGGCATCAGCTTTCTCAATAAATAACTGAAAAAGAAAGAAGAAAAAAATATTATTATCTGCTCATAACTTGGGTTTGACCTTACATGGTGCAAGTCACCTTTATAAAATACGTCTTTCAGCACAAGATTTGGATACTCTTTAACTCTTGATGACTTTTTAGTTGAAAATCATCTATTTGGAATTAAAAATGACCAGGTAGTTTTAGAGTAAAAGGACTAATATCAACATCATTTGGTTAACATTAATATACATTATTTTGTGAAGTTTATTTCCTATAATCTTTCTTAGAAACTGGTGAAATGACACCATTTCAGAAAAGACAGAAAAATATGTCTGTGACATGCTCATAGTCAATGAACCATCTAGAGTTGAGCCAGAATGAGATTTTTTAGTGCCAGGTTAAAAAGACAACAAAACTTCTTCTTGACTTTTTTCCTTAGTCATAGAAATACTACTTCTAGAAGTCAGGCAACATGACCTGGACGTACCATATTCAAATATACGCAACAGCCCTGAGGGCTGGGGGTTAGCTGCCTATTTTCAGCAAATCAGAACATATGAATATTTCCTTCAATGGTTTCTTGTTGCCAACAAGAAAAGGACAAAAGTATGAATTAATTTCAGTCAACTGGACTTCAATCGACAGTCTTAAGGTTTAAGGACCTTACATTTGGGTGAGCCAGAGAATTGTCATCTTGGTACTTGATAGCAGTAGGGATGCTGCTCGGGTCTATTTCTTTTTCATTGCTGGGTAGATCAGCAGCTACCGATACTGGTCCTGATGTTACAGTTGCATGTTTCACTTCACTGGGTTCCGCTGACTGAAACATAAAACACATATTACTAATTGCATTACAATATACAATTAGAATTTTGTTTTAATATTTCTGATTTTGAATAATAATTGCTCAGTAGTCTCCTTTGAGATGATACTAATCACAAAAAGGCCCTAAGTTATTGAGTAAGAAATAATTATTCCTAAAACAAGCAAACAAATACAAAAACACTGGAAAAGGTTTATCATTTTTTTATGATCAGCATAATTTTCTTAAGAAATTAGTACTATCGCACTGACCAGTTTGGCTCAGTGGTTAGAGCGTCGGCCTGTGGTCCCGAGAGACCCGGGTTTGGTTCCTGCTAAGGGCATGTACCTCAGTTGCAGTTTGTCCCCGGCCCTGATGGGGTCGTGCGGGTGGCAGCCACTCGATGTGTCCCTTTCACGTCGATGTTTCTCTCTCTCTCTTTTCCTCTCTCTCCCTCCTGCACTATCTGAACAAAAATGGAAAAATGTCCTCAGGTGAGGATAAAAAAAAAAAAGTAATTAGTACTATGAGTTTATACTATTGAGAAAATATATATTTCATATGTGTAAATTCTATTACAAAACAAGCTTGCAACAAATCTCCAGCATTTAGTTGGCCTCTTTAGGCATAAAAAACAAATGTATAGGTTATTTTTTAAATAATAGCTTACTGCGATATAATTCACATATTACAAATCATATGGCTTTTAGCATATCCATAGAGTTTTGAAACCATTACCAAAAGCAACTTTAAAACATTTTCATTATCCTTCCCAAAACTCCATACCCATTAGAAGTTACTCCTCCCCTTTTCTCCCCACCCCTCCCATACCTAAGCAACCACTGATCTATCTGTCTGTCTCTACAGATTTACCTATTCTGGACATTTCATATATAAGAAATCATACAATATGTGGGTTTTATGTCTTATTTTTTGTTTTTGGTGACTGGCTTCTTTCATTTAGCATAAGGTTTTCAAGGTTCATCCATATTATATCATGAATCAGTACTTCATTACGTCTTATTGCTGAATAATGCAGAAACTGTGTTAAGTGCTGGGAACAAAAAAACTAATAAATCATTTTTCCTGCCTGGAAGGAGCCAGCAGTGTAGTTCTAACTTGGGCTAATTCCAGTATTTCCTTCCCTAAGAAAGGAGAAAGCCAGGGAAGTAGCTGGTTAACAGCAAGGCTTCATGGATAAAGGAATTAGATGAGAAGTTGAAATTAAAAATGAAGATAAAAAAATCAAGACAATTGGAATATTAATTCAACTTCTTCGCCTTTCCCCCCCATACCTATTGTTTTCAATTCCCATTTTCTTTTTAACTTATCTACTTCTGAACATTCACTTCTCTGAATGAAGTGCAAAACTGATTTCACCAAGAAAAATCATCTAGAAAATGAAATATGCATGAATGAGTTCATCCTTTCTTAGAATAACTTATCTTAGAATTAGAAATCCATCTATTTAACCAGGATTTATTTAGTGCTACTAGTTGCTAAGCACTGGGTACACAAGGGAGAATAAAATAGTTGTGTTGTCTGTCCCAGTTGGAGATTACATTTTCCTAATGGGACTGACAGATTACTAACAAATAAATACCAACATAAATACATAATCACAAACTGTAATAAGTGACATAAAAATATTTAAATCAATAGTTATTAAATTTGAGTTGGTAGTTTTATTCTCATATTTTGGAGCTAATATAGTTTTTCCCCCCAGGTCTCAGACATTTCTATCCCTCTAACATACTGCGCCTAGAAGTCTCACAACCCTTATACAAGTGCTATGACGCTGACTCTTTATAAAACTGAGGACAGGTAACAGTGATGCCCAATATTCTGCATAGAGAAAAATGGGAAGTATCCTAATCCAAAGAGGTCCAGGACATCATTTTTTGGTAGCTTATGTTGCTGTGCAGAGAATATAAGAGCATGTCATCCTGCATATCTCAGCCGTTCTTTGACAGGGCTTAGCTAGACGACTGGCTGTCTGAGTGGACTGCCTTGAAAAACTGTGGTGTGCTGGTATTCTAGTTGCCAATGGTATGGCAGTTATAGCATTTTATTATGAAAACCAAGTAATCTCATTCTGTTTTTACCTATACAGTATATATTTCTCTGAGAAGTTCTTATGCATACATAAGTGAAGTTCTCAGAGGTTTGAATCAAAGCATGGAAGTTATTATTTAATAATACATTATTTAAAATGTGTGAAAGGAACCATTAGTTGCTTCTTTATTTAAGTGAGGAAAATTGTAAGAGAAAATTTTATGATTAAAAAACCCCTCAACAAGGCCACTATCAAACATACAGCTTTGAGTGGTACTGCCACCTGGTGGTTCAGTTTGGAAAAAATTGTTTTCAAATTTTATTTCCAAGTTAAAAGTACAAATTACTATCTATCATCTATCTATCTATCTATCTATCTATCTATCTATCTATCTATCTATCTATCTATCTATCTATCTATTGCTCACCTGAGGATACTTTTCCAGGTGAAGGGAGGGAAGGGAAGAGAGAAAGAAACATCAATATGAGAGAGACACATTGATTGGTTGCCTCTCTCACGACCATGATCAGAGAAGGGGATAAAACCTGCAACCCAGGTACATGTCCTTGACTGGGAATCGAACCCATGACCCTTCGGTTTATGAGAGGACACTCTAATTGCTGAGCAAAATCAGCCAGGGCAATTACCCTCTTTTTACACATAGGCAGATATTTGCCAGATATAACAATATTAGGGCTGAATAATTGATAATATGCTTATTAGGAACTGCAATTTGAAAACAAGCTGCATCTTGTTCCTGAAGGTGATGATATAGCAGGAGTTATCAGATTATCTCCTCTCAAGAGAATAATTGCAGAGGGTGAAACTAGTTAAATTGATATGTGTTGCAGACGACACAATGTCTACCATGTTATTGTTATAGCTACTTTTCTGGTAGCAGCTCCCTAGCTTAATTAGTGGAATTAACACAGATAAAGAAAGACTCTACCAGCTGAAGGGGTGGCTAGTATAGAAAAGCCCTTTTCAGAGATACAAACTTTATGCCAATGAGTGCAGAACTTTCCAGGAGAAAAAGATGTTGAAACTTGGGTCATGGGTAATTTAGTATCCAAGGGAGTCTTCACTATGCATTAGGGATACCCCATCATGTTTCCCTGTGATCTGGATGAAACTGTCTTCAAGATAATTTACCTCCCTGTGCTAAGTAATCTCCTGATAAATAATTCAGCTTCTTGGGCATCCTGAATTCCTACCTTATACTATAGACACAGACATGTCAGAAACTCAAAAAGGGTATTACTTTCTAAACTAATAAATTGGCCCTCTGTTTTATACTGCATTCGAGTGTGAGTATATTCATTGTTGGCCCATCACAGCTCTTATGATCATTTTGAAATTCAGTTACTAATAGAAGACCAGTGATGGATAGCTATTACTATTGTACACTCACCCAGGTAAATGCCATCTTCTGAGGCTTTTTAGCATATTCCCTGCTGGTGCCACTTACTTCAACGTATGCTTTCTTTATACTACAGCAGGTACAGTGCATTGAGTTTACAATTATTAGAGACATCTGATTAGTAGTAAAAAAAAAAAGTTCTGGAGTTGGATAAATTTGGTGTAGATGCTGCTTCTTGTCATTTACTAGCAGTCTGACCATGGGTTAGAAAGTCTGCTGAGCTTCAGCCTTCTTAGCTATAAATAGGGGGCACTGGGATATTACCAGAATTTTAGGGTCCAGATACCATAAAAAATTACGACAATCTCTGGCCCAACCAGAACGGGAATGCTTGTATCTACAATTCCTCTTAAGGAAGCCACAGACAAACAGAGCTCTCAGCACTCAGCAGGAGGAGGAGGTGGGATGGGGCAGGAGGGAGAGAAGCAGGGAACGGCTTTCATTTCTGGAGTCCTTACTCTGTGCCAGGCACTGGGCTAACTGTTCTAATAAAGTGTGTGGTTTATCTTGTGAAATACCTGTGCCACAGGCATTCTCCCCATTAGAAGATAAGAAAGCCAAGGGTTGTTTTTTTAAATCCTCACCCAAGGACATTTTTGTTCAGGTAGAGTGGGAGGGAAAGAGAGGAAGAGAGAGAGAGAAACATCCACGTGAGAGGGACACATCGAGTGGCTGCCTCCCACATGACTCCAACTGGAGCAGGGGACAAACTGCAACTGAGGCATGTGCCCTTAGTGGGAACCGAACCCGGGTCTCTCTGGACCGCAGGCTGACACTCTAATCGCTGAGCCAAACCGGCCAGGGCAAGAAAGCCAAGGTTTAATAAGGTTATATAGTTTAAGGACGGAGAGCCAGTAAATGGCAAAATCAGAATATGGTTTCAAGTCTGTCTGACTAGCTTTTGACCACTGCTTCCCTATTGCTAAACCTAAGATGTCTGCAATTTGGTTCTGACTTTAGAGGACAGAAATAAAAATGTTGGTAAAATATTTTAACTAAATACATTTCTAACTGACTCAACTCAGTGCTAAGTTAACAATAGTTCTAGGCCGTGTTTGCTTCTCTGTCACTCTCATCCATCCTAAAACTAGCTAATTCTAGGCTTCCAAGAACTGACTGTAGTGCTTTCCACAAAGGGAAACCTGTTTTAAACAATAGTTGAAACAGAAGTTGGGTTTCTTTCACACAGATTTAAAAAGGCTCCTTATGAAATGGAGAGGACCCTGTTCCATGTTAGATCTCTCAATTCCTGATGGTAGCATTTATAAACTACAGGAAACAAACTTAATTCTTAAAATAATTAATAATGGTGCCCCCTTTGATCACAGATTTAGGTGAAATTCCTTTATATTGGTCCCATGGGAAGCCATTTCATTATACAGGGTTTTGTTGTAGATTTGAGAAAAATAGTTTTTCTCTTGGAATTATTTTAAGATTAATAACCTATAGGGAAATAATCTTTATTTTAAAATCCTCACTGAATGATATGTTTGTTGATTTTAGAGAAAGAGAGAAAGGGGTGGGGGGACAGAGAAAGGGAGAAAGAGCAATGTGAGAGAGGAACACTGATTGGCTGCCTCCTGCACACACCCCGACTGGGGATTGAACCCGAAACCCTTTGGTGTACGGGATGAAGCTCCAACCAACTGAGCCACCTGGCCAGAGAGGGAAATAATCTTTAAAACTTTTCTAGGTGATACAATAAGGTAAAAACATTACTAATCATGAAATTCTAATAAATAGTATTACATTTATACATTTCAAAAGACTTTGAAGGTGAAACCAGACATCTGAGAATTTCTGTGTTTCTCAGCAAGAAGTCCGAGTTACTGGTCAGCATGGAGACTTGGGAAAACAAGGGGTTTATAAGAGCATTGTAATGGGGTAAGGTGTTTATACTTCAGACACATTGAGCACCTACAGTAGAAGTGTTTAAGCACTGTGCTTAGTTTATAGACTGTATTTATTTAGATATCAAATAATTTACATGCTAGAGTATGGTATTTAAAAATAAACACTAGCCCTGGCCAGTTTGGCTCAGTGGTTGGAGTGCTGGCCTGCGGACCAGGGAGTCCTGGGTTCGGTTCCCGCTAAGGGCACGTACCTCAGTTGCAGTTTGTCCCTGGCCCTGGTTGGGGTTGTGTGAGTGGCAGCCACTCAATGTGTGTCTCTCATGTCTATGTTTCTCTCCCTCCCCCTCCCATTCTGTCTGAAGATAAATGCAAAAATGTCGAGTGAGGATAAAAAATAAATAAATACAAATAAACACTAATCAAGGACTATGCTAGTTACTTGATAATCATTATATTTAATCCTCAGCAACGCTAAAAAGTAGGATTTATCATCTCTATTTTATGAACTTGAAGACTGAGGTGTGGGAATTAAGATTCAAACTCAGATCTCCTTGAGTCCAAAAGCCCATGTTCTTTCCACTGTATCAAGTAGGCTTTTGATCAATTTCCTTGCTTATGGACAATTTCACTAGTTATTGGAACCATTACTACTATTGGTATCTTGAGGGAGAGGAATGAAATTAAAAATAACTGTACTATACAGTAGTCCCTGCCACTTCACACTTGGACGTTCGCAGCCTCCCCGTGCGGCTGTCAAATACTACACTATTCTACACTATACTTGGAAGATCTCGACAGAGGGAAGCTGTGAACGTCGGAAGTCGGAGCACAAATGGTGAGGGAGGACTCTGTGCAAATAAAGAATCCTACTTCGCAGAAATTCATTCATTGCGATAGAGTCTGGAACAGATTAACCGTGATAAACGAGGGCCAACTTTATTAGTAATTAGTACCAAACAGGAAAAAGCTGTTTAGAAGAAAACCCAGTGAATAACTATAGAGGAATACGTATTTCTACCGAAAGAAAATGCTAGTTCATCTTACACAAGTCCAGTGAGAACTAGGAAGTCAGGATGAACTTCACAAAATAAAGACTAGGAGAATAAATTTTAAAATAAATTAAAATTCAATCAGGACATATAAATGACTTTTAATATGTAAGAAGATAAAACTATAATTAAAAATAAATTAAAAATTTAAATGTAAGAGTAAAATATTAAATCAAATGGCAAACTATATTTATAAATGTCCATTTCACAACTCCATTTTTTAGGAGCTGTGGAGCAACTACAAAAATTTCAAATAAAATCCAGATGGCAAGGTGGGGAACGGATCAGCCAAGGCTGTCCAATGCTGTGCAACACTCGAGTCACGTCTCCAGACTGAATTGTTTTTAAAAGTAGTTGGTGACTGAAAAGATGTTCATTTCACTACTACAAGAGAAATGCTAATGGGAACACAAAAGGTCAGTTTTGTCCTATCAGGTCGGTCAACATGAACGGACTTGTTACCCAGGACGTGAGAGGCTGGCACCTCCCTGTGCTTCTGGGTGGCATCTGAGCTGTACCTTTCTAGAGGACGACTTTGGGAACACTTATGAAAATAAACATTAACCTTTTACAAAAAACTAATCTTGAAAATTTTATCTTAAGGTGACAATAATGGATATTTGTAAACATATAAAACCTCCAAAGTTACAACTACATAATATAACCTACAAAGTTACAACTCCTTCAATATCAAATGCCAGAGGAAAAAAATATATAAATGATACATCCATCAGTAGAATATTATATAGCCATTAATATATTTATAGATGTAGAATATTTTTGAGTAATTAGTAACTACCATGCCTTTGTTATATGTATGTTACTAAAGATCACATGTATGTATGTATGTATGTTATGTATGTTATTTATTTATTTATTTATTTAATATCCTCACCCGAGGACATTTTTCCATATTTTGTTCAGATAGAGTGGGAGGGAGAGAAACAGAGAGAAACACTGACGTGAAAGGGACACATCGAGTGGTTGCCACCCGCATGACCCAACCAGGGCTGGGGACAAACTGCAACCGAGGTACGTGCCCTTAGTGGGAAACGAACTCGGGTCTCTCTGGACCGCAGGCCGGCGCTCTAACCGTTGAGCCAAACCTGCCAGGGCAGATCATATGTATTTTATAGTAGAATGCCTTTTTCTACCAAAGGAACATATAATCCTAAAAGCAGCCTTAATTATGATTGAAAGAATACACAAAATATTCAACAGTAATAAAATGCTAATCAAAGCCCCTTTTACCAGAGTTGAATAAGTGATACTCATTTGGGCAGAACTGTAGATACATGTTACTATTTGGGTTATAATTTCATTGTTAAAGTCCTTTTCTAACTTTTCTCTAGCAACATCAATTCCAAAAGTAGATATATATGCTTGAAAAGAAAACCATGTGTGTATGTTCATGAAATGCATATTATTGTTAAATAACTGTTGTGTTGACATTTTACTCTGTTTTCCCAGTGAATTTAAAAATAAAAATGGCATTCGATACATTTTCACAGTATATTTTTTGACAAGTTAAACTTAAACCGATTCTCACTGTTTCATTTTCTCTCAATCACATGCTGACACTCTCTCACCCTACTTCATCTATTAGAAGAAGCACTTACATTTAAGTGAAATCCATTAATAAAGCATCTCTTCAGTTGGAATCTAAAGGCTTATTCATAATGCCTGGATGAAGACTTACCTTTTTGACTTCTTTACTTGATCTGAATGTCTGCTGAACAAAAGAATCACTTTCAATGGCTTCAATTTCTTTTACTCTTTTTACTTGTTCTACCAGGGTGGTCTGATCTAAAAAAAAAGGGTATAATGTCAGTGTATTTTGGCATATAAGCTTGTTAACGACACTCTACCTAAGCAGTGTTCTTTCTTTCTATGAAGTAATTTCGACTTACAAAATTTAACTAGATGAAAAGAAAAATTTAACTGGATGAAAAGCTATAGTTATAGTTAAGCTATAGCAAAAAACTATTCTTCCCCTAAGATCTGCAAATATAACGTCCCTACACACTAAGACTCTTACCTAAAACCTAAAACATTGCTGAGAAGACTCTGCTATAATATTCAAAGCTAATCTGGGCTAATCTGGTGGGAAAACTTTTAAAAAACAAGCTCCAAGCCCCTCTTCATTTTGGAAATACACATAAAAGGAATAATAGCACAATAGATCCACCTGTACCCATCATCCAGCCTCCATAATCAGCAACTTTCTGTTATTCTCAATCTATCCATCACAACTTCAGGTTGTTTTTGGGGGTTAGATCTGGATTATTTAAAAGTAAATCCCAGATATCATACGATGTTACCCCTAAATATTTCAGTAGGCATCTTAGACGGGGCTTAAGGAAAAAAACAAAAACAGAAAACCAGAAACATAACTACAACACCATCTTCACATCCAACAATATTATCAACAATTCCCTTAATATTACCTTATACAGTCCATGTTTAATTCCCACGTATTGTCCAAAAACATGTCTTTTTACAGTTGGTTTGTTTGAAACAGGATCCAAAGTCCATGCATTAACTTAGTTAATAAGTATCTTAAACCCCTTTTAATCACTTCCAGTCCACTGTCTTCCTTTCATTGCCATTTATTTACTGAAGAAACTGGATCATTTATCTTGTAAAAATTTCCACACTCTGGATTTGGCTAATTGTTATTCTCATGGTGTCATTTAACTGGTTCCTCTATGCTTCACAGTTTGTGTAAACCAGTAGTTAGATCTGGAGTCTTGATAAGGCTCAGTTTCCATTTCTTTTGACCGAGAGTACATCACAGATATTGCGGTGTCGTTCCTGTTACGTCACCTCAGGATGCGCTTCTCCCACTGTCAGTGAGGTTAAGATTTAGCAGTGGGTCCACGGTGGTGTCATCCTGACCCTTCTATTTTAAAGTTCTCCATCAACCTTTCACTTAAAGGTTTGAGCAGATATTAATGTGTTGCTTAGGTGTATCATTTCAAAATGCAAAATGATTTTCTAATTCTATTATTCTTCCTGCATTTATTAGCTCTGATTCCTCTATAAAGAGGAACTTCCCTCGGTGACTATTTGGTGGCTGTAAAATTTAGTCTATACAGGGAACATCAGATCATATGTTTAATTCTTTCCCTCTGTCCATTTTGGTACAACGATGACCAATATAAGTTAATAAATATTTATATATTTAACGCATTTCAGTCCATGTAGTTGTTTTCATATTTTGATGCTCAAATTATTCTACCTTTGGGTAGTGGGAACCTCTGCAGGGTGGTTCCCGCATACTTTTGATACAATCCTAGTGGTTAAGATGTGATAAGGTATTCCAGGCTTATTTAGTAGTTTCCATCCCAGACTTGAAATTGGCCATTTCTCTAAGGAGCTTGGGCTTTTTTTTTTTTTTTTTATCCTCACGGGAGGACATTTTTCCATTTTTTTGTTCAGATAGAATGAGAGGGAGAGAGAGAAACATCGACGTGAAAGGGACCAATCAAATTAAAGATTACAGAACTTCTAGTTATACTCTTTAATTTTATATTTATATATCTTTTCTCTTACTCTAAAAAAACTTAGACCTTAATGATAATGATCAAAAGCACATAATTGTTTTACCTAATATGTGAACTGAGTATTATTAACTTTACAATAATAAAGCAAACATTACTATTAACAAGATGAATTAATGCCATTTAAAATTTCTTTATGATTCTTTTTAATCTCAGAATTTATTCCACTGATGAACTATCAAAACACTAAAGTTACTTGAAATAATTCTCTATATGATTATGCTACTAACTTGATATACAATTAGATTAATTTGTTTCATTTCATTTTTGATTTTTAGGTCTTATTTTGTTTTATTAAAAAAATATGTTTTTATTGATTTTAGAGAGACAGGGAGAGGGAGAGAGAGACAGAAACATCGATGAGAGAGAAACACCAACATGGATTGGCTGCCTCCTCAACCTGGGCATGTGCCCTGACGGGGAATCGAACCAGTGACCTCTTGGGACATAGGTAGATGCTCAACTACTGAGCCACACTGGCCGGGCTGTTTTATTGTCTTTGTGATTAATATTTGTTTTTTAATTGCATAAAACACATGGTTCCAAAGTAAAAACTTAAAACAACATCATTCAGAGAAGTGTAGGTTTCCTTCCCATTCCCATTACTCATGTTCTCCCCACAATCCATAGGTAATCATTTCTATTTTTTTATTTTTTATTTTTTATCCTCACCCGAGGATATTTTTTCCATTTTTCGTACAGATAGAGTGGGAGGGAGAAAGAGGAAGGGAGAGAGAGTGAGAAACATCGATGTGAAGGGACACATCGAGTGGCTGCCACCCGCACGATCAACCAGGGCCGGGGACAAACTGCAACCGAAGTACGTGCCCTTAGCGGGAACCAAACCCGGGTCTCTCCGGACCGCAGGCCGACACTCTAACCGCTGAGCCAAACTGGCCAGGGCAAGGTAATCATTTCTAATAAGTTTTGTTTTTTATCCTTCTGTTGTTTATTTCTGAAAATATAAATATACATATCCTCTTTCTTACACAAAATAGCATACTATACATTCCTATGTACATTACTTCTTTCACTTAACAATGTCTTCATTATCACTCCATAGCAGTATAGAGACCTCATTCTATTTTATTTTATTTTTACCCTCACCTGAGGACATTTTTGCATGTATCTTCACATAGAGCGGGAGGGAGAGAGGGAGGAAGTGAGAGAGAGGAACATCGATGTGAAGTAGACATATCAACTGGTTGTCACCCACACGACCCCAACCAGGGCTGGGGACAAACTGCAACAGAGGTAGGTACCCTTAGCAGGAACCAAACCCGGGACTCTACGGTCCGCAGTCTGACGCTCTAACCGCTAAGCCAAACCGGCCAGGGCTCATTCCATTTTATAGCTGTAGTAATCTATTTCTAGCAGTTATGATAGTTTTTCCCATCAATGCCTTTGATGATCATTTGAGTTGTTTCCAGTCTTTTGCTTTTATAATTAGTACTTTAATAAATAGCCATGCGCATGCGTCATTTCAGATATATATTTTTTCACATGCTAGCCGGGCAGGAAAAATGCAACATTGTGGTTCACACCCCCCTGCTGTTTAAACTCTTCTTCTAAGCTCATGTGAATGCATAGCAAAATTAGAAGCTACTGTACACTCAGCTAAAGCATACAAAAATGTTGGGATTTTAGACTATGAATAATAGCTGAATTTATTGTCTAAAAAACAACTGTAATAACTAGTAATTACATGGTAGAATTATTTGTATCAAAGTAATATTTACATCCCAGTAGATCTAGGCTGAAAAGGTTAAATGTTATAGAAAGTATGAAAAAATTTTGGTTTCATTAGTTCAATAAAAACGAACATTTTATGAAAAATCTTTGTTTCAACTTTTGGTCAATCACAAGTTATACAGTCTCATGCAAGCTCCAGTTTATTTAAGGGGAAGTCAGTGCTTCTGCAGATGTGTTCCTGACAACTGTAACCAGTCTGCTCGTGGAGTGTTTGGATGTAACAGATGCCAGAGCTTACACTCCCATTTTTGGAAGAATATTTTTTACATAAAAGCAAGCACTGTTAAGAGTATCAGGGAAGAGCTAATAGTTCCACATGCTTTAGAATAAAAGCTCCTGTGGATTTCAATTATGCAATGTACTAATTGAGCATGTGAAATGAGATTCTTTGCTCATATAATTTATTAATATTAACACATCCCATATCAGTGGATAATACTTTTATTAGTGTTAATACAGTAGAGAAAAACTATAATGTATACCATTCCACACGATCCAACTTTAATTTGCCAATATGAAAACTGTTTGTATAGATCTTAATTAGCTCACTATTATTTTACAATCACTGATTCCCAAGAGAAGTAAAATACTTCTGACTTCAGGATGATGTCTCATACGTAGAAACTGTTTGACCCTTTGAAATTTTTCTTTAACATATTCTCTCATTTGGATTTGCAAAGCACATCATTAGTATTAAATGTCAGAGGTGAGCTCACAAACAGTACTTGATGTATAAAGCTGATAGTGTTTGTAGCTTTAAATACGGACACACAACCAGCCAGCATGTTTAACAAAATAGCACTGGAGAAATTATAAAGAAAGGAAGGAGAAAGATGAGAGGAAAACAGAACATTATCTTTGTGTTTTTTAACAATCATCTGGGACTAACAAAGTGGCAAGACAGACAGGGGAAAGCCTGACTTAACAATCTGAAAATAAACCGACACAGCTTTTATCTTTCAATGTGGGAACCATTTTACCGGTGATATGTAAATTAAAGAGTATGATATTTAAATTAAAGAGTAAAAGTGATTTTTAAATTAAAAGTTGAGAGATTCATGGGAGAGTTAGATTTTCAGCCTCATAACAGCTCAGCTCCATGCTGTCTGAAAACAACGGGCATAAAAATTTACATTGGTTCATACTCAAAATCCTAATATTGATGTCCACAAATGTGTGTCTTGAGTATAACCCTGTCATTTTGGGAAGCAGAATAAAACACATCAATAATACATACTAAACTATTTTAAATTCAGATTAAGTTATATATGCCAATTTGTCATTTAAAAATTCTGTGCTAATTTTAAGACTGAGAAAAATGTGAAAGAAAACTAGTCATTGTTTATATACTTGGCATGAATGCCTAGCATACAATGTATTTTGCATTCATCAACCATTAGGTAAAAATAAAAGTGACAAAGTTATTGGGAAAACTAAAATTATAGGATTTAAAAAATAATAATGCTGTAAACATGGAGGAAACATCTAACA